TACTGTCAAATGTAAAAATAGCAAATAAGTCATAATGTATTCAAGTGTGTCCTTAGAACAACACCAGTTTAATGGATTAAATCTTTAATCACATCCATGACGAAAAAGCAGAGAGGGAATATCAACATATTTATAATAACCCAATCTTATTTGGCATGCAGTAGGGAGAAGATTGATGGCTTTAATACTTTTATTTGCACTGAAAGTGAAGCACTGCCGATTAAAAGATATTTTAAGTCCCTCTGAAGCTGCTCCTCTGAATTCGATGTTTTAGAAATATGTGGTTGAAGCCCATATCATTAGAATATATATATATATACATACATACATACATACACACACACACACACACAATTGTATAAATGCATGATATATTGATCATGTAGGTAATGCAGTTGTACATAAGTCAGAACAATCAGTAAACCGTGTTTGAAAACAGAGTGATAAGTAGTATGCATTATTCCACAGAAAAAATAAATAAATACATATACACATTATGTTTATGAAGGTATATAGAGCTCCATGATAACAACATACACAATAATTTATGTATTGGTGTCATAAAACACTCACAGTCATGTACATAGTGTACGATGACAGAACATCTCATAACTCACAGTAATCTGATGTGTACATGAGTGTGTTACACAGTTCATTTAGCAGTTGATTTTAATGTGATGTGTTAATGAATGTATCAAACTGTTACACATCACTATAACTCACAGTAATATGGTGCATGTATCAGTATACTAAAGAACTCTTCAGCATCATACGTCAATATAATGTTTTTAAATAACTATGGTATACTTACAAATAGAAATAGAAATAAATTATATAAGTCCTACTCAAAGATATATACATAGATCATTTAAGGAAACATTTCAAAAACCATACAATGAAGTGTAGTAGTTATTATGCCAGAGGTACCCTGGTGCCCTACCACCTCCTCTCTACTTAAGTAATGCTTTGATTTCTTTACTGGAGTCTGCAGGTGGTTCAAGGCTTTGCTCATTGGCTAAATGTGACATTATCAGCCAATGCACTAGCCATGCCCCTTAGTGCAGGATAGCTAATGGAAACTCCTAGTTGGTTCTTCCAGCTAACAGCACTGGAAGGAGATATCCCTTGAGCTGTCTGGTGGACCCAGGTAGAAGTTAATCTATTAGCAAATTCGAAAGCAAATTTCCTGCCTTATATTCCTTAGAGAAATGTTATTCCTTTCAGCCCACCTTCTCCTTATAGCCTTCTTCACTAGCTAAATAGCATCAATTACCATCCGAAGCTATAAAACTATATCTATTGCAGACAGAGAAGGTTTCTCAACATGAAGGGAGAACACAGTCTCATCTTACACAGGGGCGGGCTGGGACAGGGGGCACGGGAGGCAATTGCCCTAAATCCAGGGCCGTCTGCATCCAGCAAAAAAAAGAAAAATCCAAATCCCCTGCCTCTGGCATGGGACTCAGATTTTTCAACTTACCTCCCTCTCCATGCCAGTGGAGTTAGCCGGCCTCTCCTTATGATGTCAGGAGGAGGGGGTGTGTCTTTCACTGCTCTTCTCCTAGGACCACTGAGGAGTCAGGGAGAAGAGCAGAGGAAGTCATGACCCCTCTTCCTGACATCATCAGGAGAGGCCGACTTCACTGACTGCTGGCTGCTGCTCCTGCCTCCTGTCCACCCCTCCCTGGACTAAGGTAAGACTCAGGGAGGGTGGGGAAATACACTTTAGTTTTTTGGGGGGTTATCCCCCTCCTCAGCCCTTGTCCCCATTACTCAGCTCCTGTGCACCATCCTCTCAGCTCCTGTCCATCCCCCTCTCAGCTCCTGTCTACCCCGTCTCAGCTCCTGTCCCCCACTCTCAGCTTCTGTCCCCCTCAGCTCTTGTCCCCCCTCTCAGTTCCTGTCCCCTTCCTCAGTCCCCACTCCCCTGCTCTCCCCCAATTGCAACCCATATATCACCCACAGCCCCTTTCCCAAATTGTAGCCATCAACCTACTTCAGCCACTATCCCCCCCTACATTTCCTAACCCCCAAAATGACAGCTCCTATCCCCCACTACTGCCCCTAGCCTCCTACTACAGCCCTGTTGTTTTACTCAGCCCCTGTCTGTCTTTACAAGTGTAAAGTGTGTGTGTGTCAGTATGTCTGTCTGTGTGTGTGTCAGCCAGTATGCATGTGTGTGTCTGTCTGTGTGTCAGTATGTCTGTAACAGTGTGTCTGTGTGTGTATGCGTGTGCCTGTCAGTGAGTGTGTGTTTGTTAGTGTGTGTCAAATCAGCAAGTGTGTGTGTGCCCGTCAGTGAGTGTGTCTGTTTAGGTGACTGCCCCCCCCTTTCAATCACATGGGAAAGGTGTTTTTACTCTCCTCTTGGTGCAATGGGCCACTTGACTGGATTTGCGCCCACCACCCCAGCCCTTACCCCCCAGACGTAAGGCTGCCAGCCCTAACCCTATTCCTAACCCAACCCTAACCCTACTCCTAACCCTACTTCTAACCTAACCCTACTCCTAATCTAACACAACCCTAACCCTACTCCTAACCCTACTTCTAACCTAACCCTACTAACCCAACCCTAACCCTTCTCCTAACCCTACTTCTAACCTAACCCTACTAACCCAACCCTAAGCCTACTCCTAACCCAAGTGGAAATCTAAAAATAAACAAGCAAAGGCGCTAAAAATTTAAAAATAGTGATATAATAAATTGTAAGCCGATAAACGGATCAAAAGGTAAAGCGGCACCTTAAAATGCACAAGCTCAAACAGAGGTGTTATTAGGCAAATTAGTATTTTGACCACATCATCCTCTTTATGCATGTTGTCTTACTCCAAGCTGTATAGGCTCGAAAGCCTACAACCAATTAAGCATATTAGGTGATGTGCATCTCTGTAATGAGAAGGGGTGTGGTCTAATGACATCAACACCCTATATCAGGTGTGCATAATTATTAGGCAACTTCCTTTCCTTTGGCAAAATGGGTCAAAAGAAGGACTTGACAGGCTCAGAAAAGTCAAAATAGTGAGATATCTTGCAGAGGGATGCAGCACTCTTAAAATTGCAAAGCTTCTGAAGCGTGATCATCGAACAATCAAGCGTTTCATTCAAAATAGTCAACAGGGTCGCAAGAAGCGTGTGGAAAAACCAAGGCGCAAAATAACTGCCCATGAACTGAGAAAAGTCAAGCGTGCAGCTGCCACGATGCCACTTGCCACCAGTTTGGCCATATTTCAGAGCTGCAACATCACTGGAGTGCCCAAAAGCACAAGGTGTGCAATACTCAGAGACATGGCCAAGGTAAGAAAGGCTGAAAGACGACCACCACTGAACAAGACACACAAGCTGAAACGTCAAGACTGGGCCAAGAAATATCTCAAGACTGATTTTTCTAAGGTTTTATGGACTGATGAAATGAGAGTGAGTCTTGATGGGCCAGATGGATGGGCCCGTGGCTGGATTGGTAAAGGGCAGAGAGCTCCAGTCCGACTCAGACGCCAGCAAGGTGGAGGTGGAGTACTGGTTTGGGCTGGTATCATCAAAAATGAGCTTGTGGGGCCTTTTCGGGTTGAGGATGGAGTCAAGCTCAACTCCCAGTCCTACTGCCAGTTCCTGGAAGACACCTTCTTCAAGCAGTGGTACAGGAAGAAGTCTGCATCCTTCAAGAAAAACATGATTTTCATGCAGGACAATGCTCCATCACACGCGTCCAAGTACTCCACAGCGTGGCTGGAAAGAAAGGGTATAAAAGAAGGAAATCTAATGACATGGCCTCCTTGTTCACCTGATCTGAACCCCATTGAGAACCTGTGGTCCATCATCAAATGTGAGATTTACAAGGAGGGAAAACAGTACACCTCTCTGAACAGTGTCTGGGAGGCTGTGGTTGCTGCTGCACGCAATGTTGATGGTGAACAGATCAAAACACTGACAGAATCCATGGATGGCAGGCTTTTGAGTGTCCTTGCAAAGAAAGGTGGCTATATTGTCACTGATTTGTTTTTGTTTTGTTTTTGAATGTCAGAAATGTATATTTGTGAATGTTGAGATGTTATATTGGTTTCACTGGTAATAATAAATAATTGAAATGGGTATATATTTGTTTTTTGTTAAGTTGCCTAATAATTATGCACAGTAATAGTCACCTGCACACACAGATATCCCCCTAACATAGCTATAACTAAAAACAAACTAAAAACTACTTCCAAAAATATTCAGCTTTGATATTAATGAGTTTTTTGGGTTCATTGAGAACATGGTTGTTGTTCAATAATAAAATTAATCCTCAAAAATACAACTTGCCTAATAATTCTGCACTCCCTGTATAATATATTGTTATATGCAGTGTGACTATTTTTTGCTCATAATAAACACTCATTTAAGTTCTGCCTTTGTCTGGTAAAGAATCACGTTACCTGAAGAGACTAACTAGTACTTTTGCAATTCTTTAAATATTGTGCTAAGTAATATTTGGTGGGTTTTATTATTGATTTACCTGGGGGACCAAGGCACCCCATTTATAGATTGTCTTGGTGGTGGCAGCGTTAAAATAGTAATAGTTATATTATTATGTTTAAGTGTGGGTGGTGTTAAAAAGGGGGATTTTGTCATTATTTCCGGTCTAGTGCAGACAAATAGTGAACTTTAACCCCTTCACCACCACAACTATGTCCCACACACCCTTGGAGTAGGGTGCGTTCGTGACACTCATCCCACCTGGAGTACTAAGGAATATTGTCTTTTGTAAGTTATTTTTAATAATATTGTTTGGCACAAAATTCAACTTTGCACATTTTGAACACTACACTGAGTTTGTTTATATATTGTGTATGCATTTGTCACTTTTTTGCACTTTTGTTGCACTTTAAATGTTAAAAGGTACAGAGCACCTTTCTTATTTTTTTTACTCCTAACTAGTGATGTCCCGAACGGTTCGCCAAACGGTTCGCGAACGGTTCGCCACGGACTCAACACTGAGTAAACTTTGACCCTGTACCTCACAGTCAGCAGACACATTCCAGCCAATCAGCAGCAGACCCTCCCTCCCAGACTCTCCCACCTCCTGGACAGCATCCATTTTTAAGCTGCATTCTTAGTGAGCTGTCCAGGAGGTGGGAGGGTATGGGAGGGAGGGTCTGCTGCTGATAGGCTGGAATGTGTCTGCTGACTGTGAGGTACAGGGTCAAAGTTTACTCAATGATGAGTCCGTGGCGAACCGTTCGGCGAACCGTTCGGCGAACCGTTCGGCGAACCGTTCGGGACATCACTACTCCTAACCCAACCCTAACCCTACACTTCCCTGAAGTGCAGAACCAAACCAAATATCCAAAGTCCTGAATTTTGGAATGCCAAACTGAACTGAATTGCCGAAATCCCAAGTTGCCGAAGTGCCGAATTTTGACGAAGCCGAACCAAATGTTTTGACCATGCACATCCATATTGTGAATTTGGTTTCAAACAAATTGACATTCTTTTTTTTGCAGTGCAGGTAATTACATAAGATCCTGTGGTGCCACGACAGCATCAACAGACATATAGCATCATACAATTTGATACAGAAGCATGGCATGTGGAAAATTATGCACTATTTTTAGTTATAACAAGATGAAATAAGATCGGTATATAAGCATAGACATTTCGTTAAAGTAGGTTAGGTGAGAAAGGCAAATAAGCTAAGTAGAGTGGCATGGCGAGTGTATGCATAAAAACGAAATAGAACATGTCCCAGTGATTAAAGAACCCCAGGCCCCCGAACAGAGACTCTCCTCCCAGTAAGATACAAGATAAACGGGACTCTGATAAGAACTGCTCAGGAGCAGAGATATGGCAACCCCCGTCCCAATGCAGAGAGCAGCCCACTCCCATCACCGGCAGGACACAGTCCTTCGCTTCATCTGTGGGTAGTTCCCTGAAGCCGTGGTATGGCTGGTCAGGTGGTATTAGCCGCTTGCGGTTGGGAGTTGGAAATGTGCAGAACCTTCAGAGTTGTCCCCCGCCTTCAGTTGTGTAGCCCAGTTTGTGTCCATACCAGCGTGCAGCCTAATTTCCTCAGGAACCACTTGCCAGTCAGGTGATCTCTGCACAGGTTCCCCAGCGTCGATTGGTAGCACCCCAAGCCGGGTCTCAGGAGAGGTATGTTGCTTTAGCAATATCACCCAGAGTTGCCCACTGTGAGTGTCAAGAGCCCTGAAGGGGGGGGGGGGTCACCCTCTCCACGGAGTGCCGGTCCAGCTCAGATGCCATTTTGAAGGGTAGGCAAGGTCTCCGATCAGATGAGGGCCCCAGGGTTGGCCGGGACGACACCCACCGGCCCAAAGGGGGGAAGCAGCACCATCACCCCATTGTATTAGGGGACCACCATGTTGCAGACAGGCCGGATAGCAGGGCGGAGGCCATCCACCCTATTCACAACCAGGGTAGGTTTGACTAGGCCTCGGTCACGGAGCTTAGATTTCTCCCCTAAAGGGGCCAAGAGTCGGGTCAGTGGCTTTTCGTCTGGGCTAGCACCTCATAGTGTATTTGTCTGCCATGTCTCAGCACCAGAAATTGTGGTTTTTGGATCAAATTGTCCGTTAATTGCAGGAGCTAGAGTACCATGTGTCTACTCTGCTTGGCGGTCCGGCCCCGTCCCCTTTCTTTTAAATTTTGGACAAGTCATTTGAGTTTCTGAATTCCAAATCGCCAAGAACTGAGTTTGAAAATTATAGTATACAGGATTTGTCTAAACAATTTCAGATATAAACAATGGAAAACGTACCCCTCTTAATTTTAAATATGAAGAGAGATGCATGGGACAAAATGTGCGTACAAATTAAATTCTAGCTGTTAGATTGAATTTGTCAACACTCTCATCCAGCAAGACAAAAGTTTTAGTTTAATATCAGTGGAACATGGGAATGCTGTCAACTCAGCTTTAAGTCCTGTCTTGGTACAGTGCATCCACTGTTAATTTTGAGCTTGGATCAGAACATTTACTCTTTGTGTTCTCATTTTCTCTTTCAAAAAATTGAGTGTATAAGAAATTAAACAAAGTAATTCCATCTGGAACTGCAGGGGTTAGAATCAGCATCTTTCACGGACCACAACATTAATTTAACTTGTGTTTAACATAGCTTTCCTACCCACACCATTAGCATCTTTTCCGCTTAAGACTCTCAATTCATCACTGTCTCTGAGACAGAATGCAGCAAAGTGGGACAGGCCAAGTTTGAAAAAATTCTTCAGTTTACGATTTAGCTACACTGTTTTATTTCTTTGTAACAGAAATATTGACACTAAGTGAAATAAATTTATATGGAATACCTTATTACATGATTGCATACGGATGCAAAATTAGGTTACTTATTACTACAAGAGTACTCCTAATCACATATTGCAAAAACAAATTTCAACTAATGCCCAAGGTGTTTAGGAACATCAGTTGTAAGAGCCTCCGATATATATTCAAAAACTGTGAAGTTTGTATTTTCAGTCTATCCCTGAATCTGGGCTTGTTGCAAATAGCACAAACAAAGAAATACCTTGGCCTTTGTTACCCTTGTAGGCATCTCCTTTTCTTATACCCCCTCTGCTCTGCATTTGTGCAGATTTATTGTTGTAAGTTTGGGGTTGATGCTGCATGTGCAGTCCTAGCACAGTGTACTGTGAGGTTAATACAGCAGTTTTGGAGTTTCTAATTATTGGTTGATATAATAATCAGAATTCAAATTAAGATTTGGTGAGATCTATAGAATATGTTAGCGTTTAGAGTTGGACATAGGCTTTGATATGTGGCATAGATTTGGGAGGGACTTATGCAGGCCCGGACTGGCCAACGGGCATACCGGGCAAATGCCCGGTGGGCCGCGATAGCCGTGGACCGAGGCCGGCAGGGGAGATCACATGATCTCCCCTGTCGGCCCATGCAGAGCCAGCGCTGTCCGAGCGCCAGCTCTGCTCTAAGCCTCCATGGGCTGGTGGGGAGATCAAAGATCTCCCTCCCTGGCCCACAGGCAGTTACAAGCGGCCGCCGGTTGGGTAGGGAGGGAGGCATTCCTTGTAAGCAAACACACACAGCATTCTCTAAACACACACTCTTTACAACCCCTACACACACTACGTCACCTATATACACACACACTCGCTACATCCTCATTACACACACTCTCTACAGCCCCTAGCCACACATATTACACCACAAACACTAATTAAATCGACCTATTTACACAATACCACACCACAATCAGCTCACTCTACACACACGCAATTCCACAAGCAGGCTCCAAACACATGCACCATATGCTTTCCTGGCCCTTTTGTCCTCTGGTATCCCACTTATGGAGACACCAGAGACAAGTTAAAAGCAAACACAGTGCAAGCATTGAACCAACATGCTCACTTTGAGAGGGGGCGTGCTTGTCATTAGTGATGACAAAACACATGCTCTCTGGCCCAGCCCCTTTCTCAGGGGGCCGCTGTGATTGAAAAATGCCCGGGCCAAATTTTTTTTCCAAGTCCGGCCCTGGACTTATATCAATATAAATGAAAGGGTTCAAAAAATTTCTCTTGAGCTTAAGTGAGACCAATGAGAAGTAGGGTTGCAGAAGTTGAGATTGGAGATAATCAGAGCACTTATAAGTGTTTTAGATGCATCCATTTTGCAAGAAATGGATACAAGTGATGTTTTTAGATGAATGTAGGAGGATTTGGAGTTTGACTGGAGCCAACAAGTTTGCAGCAGTTTAATTTGCATCACCATTGGCCTGAAGGGACATTAACAGAGCTCTTCTGGTGGGAAAATCATAAGTTCTATATTTGAGAGATTAATTTTCAAGAAGTCATCTGATCATAAAAGGAGGAGAGGCAGAATGTGATACGAAGTAGAAGGGAATAAGAGAGATCATAAAACTATTATTTACATAAACGTGGCAATGGATTTTAAAATGACTGATAGGATCACTCAGAGAAGAACTGTGCAGTGAGAACAGATGTCCCAGAAAAGAACCTTGAATTAAAAACGGTAGCAAGGAGGTGGATGTGCTGAAAGGGAATTGAGAATGTAGACTACGTTGTCCACAATCCTTAAAACAGCAGTGAGATAAAAAAAGAAGAAGAAGCTTTAGAGAGTAGTGCCATATAACTTTAACTGCAATCAGGTAATTTATGGATAAGAGGATTTTCTGGTGCTTGTTTTATATAAATTTGGCAGCTGTTACTTCCCACACCAGAGTCTCTTCATTCTGGCCATAGAATAGTTGATTCTGGAAAGGGAAGTAGGGAAGCAGCGCCTTCAGGGTGCTCTCAAATTCGTATAGGTATTAAGTGATGTATATAAAAATAAGAGAACAGGAAATTGAATATAGTGTAATATTTCTTTAAACTGGTGAACCAGGAACACTTTGAGAAAGCCTCTTTGGCGAAACGCGTTAGTGTTTTTTTTAAGTGTTTTAAGTTGTATTTTGGTTTTATTAAGTTGGCTTCAAATCAAACACATTTTTACTTTAATTGGACACTTCTAATTTTATCACTGAAGATTTTATCCATAGGATTCACCCTTTATTTCCTTGGTGGGGAAATATCACCTATGCTGTATGGGATTGAGTAAAACCTGGCTTACTTTTCCTATGTGAGTATACCTCCCTTTATTATTCTCTTTTTATACATAACAGAGAGCACTATATCCTGTTTTTATTGAACTTTTTATATTGGAAAAATTCATGCTGCATATTGAAGATAAATACATTTACTCCTAATACCAAAGTGATCCATTGACCTGGGACATACACCCACAAAGGACCAGAAGCACCCACATATCCACAGGCAGGGATGATACCACCCAGGTGTATACATCTGGAGCTGATCATAAGCTCCAGAAAATTGTGAGTGCTTTTCCTTTTATTTTTATATTCACCAGTTTAAAGAAATATTACACTATATTCGAGTTCTTATTTTTATATACACCACTTAACACCTATACGGATTTGAGAGCACCCTGAAGGCGCTGCTTCCTTACATCCCTTTCCAGCATTCAGGTATTTGTTTATTGGAATACTATGTCCTATTCCTTCGTGTCTGTGGTATATCTAAGATACAGTGTCACGGCCCCCGGCTCGCCGTCATGTGCGTCCTTGCCCGACTGGCACGACCGCACCAACTCACTGAGCTTACCATCCATGGCTCCACCC